CGTTGATTTAAATACTCAGGATGATGTTGATAAACTGAGTCTGGTGTACAACAGGAATCAGAATTAATTACATCTTTTAAACCAGAGGATCCAGGAAGAAAAAACAACAATAGGAACATAGTCTGTGTTTTCATTTTTAATTGCTTACAAAACAGAGAAGCAAGACTCCAGGAGATAATGAAGTGGCCGAGTTCTTCCCTAACAAGCCAAGGGGTCTCCTTGGTAACACTGCTTGAGTCCCAGCCCTGGAGGTCTCAGAGGAACTGAAGCTCCCTGAGTTCTAATCAAGACCTTGGTCCTTGAAGAAACTACAGTACTGCCATGTTTACTGCCTGTTTGAAGATAATCCCTCAGTTGTTCGATCTACATCTTCCCCAGTCACTGCTCTGAGAGCAAAGAGCCTGGACAGCAATTGCTGTCCAAGGGGCAGGCCTGAGTTCAGATCAGGGTCATGGACATGCCATATGCTAGCCACCTCACCACAAACAGTGGGAACTTCATAAAGCAAGAAATCAAAATTGGAGCCTCCTTTTTACAGTTTTCACACTACTTTCCAAAAACACCTTTCTTGTTGCAGAAATCATGAGGTTATGTATAATATTTGCAGTTGCTTGTTTGAGCAGAGGTCATAGGACCATGTGGAAGGAACGTTTCTCCTGATTCTGTTACCTTCCTATTTATGGTTCAGAGTCCTTAAGATTAAAAGTTGGTTAAAAATGCTGACCTCCTCTAAATGCTTGTAGTAAATGACTAAGAAAAATGATTATATACTTAGGCAAGACAGTATTAAATGTAATGAATATAATGTTTCATGGAACAATTATCATTTAATTCATTAGGTTGCTGTCACTAGTTAGTATATAGATGGACTCTATCAAAATAAATTAAACTTTAAATTGAACAGAAAATGATTCCTTCTGCAATTGCAATAACTAATATCATATCTGATTTAATGCTTTCTTTGCCTAATTGCTGAGCCCATGTGTGTAGGGGGTTGCACGGTGGAGGGACAGAAGATAAATTCTGGGTACTATATCTCACATGCTCCTTTCTTTCTTAGTCCACCACGGACACTTGGACTGCTTCCAGTCTGATCAGAGAGGCGCCTGGTGGAAGTGCCTTTATTACCTTCACTTTGAACTTGGGTTGGCAGTTCAGCTAGTGAGTCTGGCCCAGACAGCAGACAATGAGAGAGAGCCTTCTGATCCAGCCTTCACTCCAGCTGCCCTGGCTCTCTCCTTATCTCAGGGCAGAAGCACAAGCTGAGCGTTATTCATTGATCTTCTTATTTATTAGAACTAAAAGAGCACAGCCAACAAAAGGAGGGAGAGGAAGCCCTCTTTCATTTATCTCATTTATAGTAAGTCTGGATTGTAGCAGTCATGCACAGGGTGTTCTCAGAGTCACATAATTCCTGGCACATCCTCTTTAGTGTATTCCCATTAACCAGATGTGTCTGCATGTATAATTTTTTTGTATACACACATGCACACACACACACACATACACACATATATAGCATATATGTAACACATATGTAACATATATAGTATATATATTTCACTCATCATAGTTTTTAATATTTTCTAAATCTATAACTTATTTTAAAATGTGAGTATACGTTAAGGACCCTCTCCCTAGAAAAATGTGCACAGTATATCCTCTGAAAATCTGCATATAGTTTTCTGAAAACTCATGCGTGTCTCAACAAACAGGCCCTTGGTAGGCTAAAAAAGCTACATTTCCAAAGGTTTTTAAATATCATGTGTTGTTAATAGTCTCGCTCAGCTTATATGTTATGTAACATGACTTTTTTTTTCTTGAAATTGAAAACCTGAAGAGTTATGCCAGTTTCTCATTTACAGCTGGGTCAGAGTAGAGATTTTCTGACCTAGCTCATTTCTGTACAGCTAATATATAGTTTCTACACAAGAGAGACCATATACTTAATCATAATATGCTCAAGACACTGATCTGAGAGCAGGGGCTGTCACGGCAGGACTATGCTCAGCTAAAGGCTGTAGGGACAGTCCATTTTCAGTTACTCTGGAGTTGTGGGTTTTAATTCCCAAAGTACATCGGCTTGTGCTTCCTCTAATGCCCTCTTCTCAGCTCTGCTACTAAAAATGTGATACTTCAAGGCCCACTTTACACCATTCTTCCTCTATGAGGTTTTTTTTCCTGCCTAGAACTATCTGCAGAATCAATTTCTGTCTCCCCATCCCATTTTGTTCATAGAGTGTTTATCAAGTCTCTCCCACTTTAAGCCTCTTGTCCCCCTCACTGTAGTAGAAGGATCTAGAGGAGAGCTCTCAGCTTCCTGCACACAGTAGGGGATTCATATGAGTTTTCGAGGCAGGCACTTTGACTCTGGAGACAGAAGACTTGACTTCTAATCCCAGCTTTGCTATTAATTAGCTGTTTATTTTTAGCAAAAACACTTGAATTTTCAAGTATCGATTTTCATTTTTCTGTAAAGTAGATATGATAATAGTACCTGCCTAACTGGGCTATTATGAAGATTAAATAATATAATACATAGAAAGCACTTATCACAGCATTGGAATCATAGTAAGTGTTGAATAAAGGTCAGTTACATAATTTGTTAAATTGAATTTTATGGGGAATTTATATTTTTGGAGTTTCTTCAGATAGTAAATATTGGTATATAGCCAAATATTAAAGGCATCATAAATTTTTCGACAGAATTGAAATCTCATGTTATTTTCAGTTTCTCTTAACAATTTTTACTTTTAATATTAAAGTCCCAACTTGACTGATAAAATCCTGGCCAACTCTAGGATATCAAAAGTAACTTTATGATATTGTGTGATACTGGTTTGCCTTCAGCACTGTCTCTATAACACAAAGATGTAGTTCTCTAGCCTCCAAGAGACCCTAAGACCAGTTGAGCAGGGGCCTGATGAAGACAGTATCTTGAATGTGGTTTTTGAGTCCTATATCACAATTTCTGTCTAGTCATTATCAAAAGGATCCTTCTCTTTCCTATCAAAGATCAGGCCAGACAATTCAGATGCTGATAAATCCACTGCTGGAAAAAACAATAGCTCACCTTATTATAGTAACATCTTTTATACAAAGAACAACACAAGTTTTTACTCTTCAAAGACTTTTAAAAAAGTTATATCTATATGAATATCTTTAGCTAACTCTTCAAGCCTTTTTCAAACTAGAATTACATTTTCTTGGATTTTGCACATTTTAAGCATCTGATTTTGAACAAATGTTTGAGGGCAGAGATTATATTTTTATTCATCTTTGTATATTGATGATATTCTAGATTCTAGTATATCATCCAAAATATGCAATAAATAGTTGCTGATTAAAAATACATAAGACTACGTCTCACTGAAAAGGCTGCAGAATTTGGATGTATTGGAATGTTTATTTTTAACAAAGAGATTAAAATAAAAAACATTAAAAGTGATTTGCACTTCAAATTTTGAGTAAGGACTCTATTTCTTGGAGAACATTTTTAATATCTAAAGAAGATATATTGGAGTACTTGTCTTTTGAGAATCGATTTTTGTTAATCAGCAGTGAGCACTTGATTCTTCAATATAGATGAAATTCTACACTTACTTTCTCATTTTTATGTTTTTAACATCTGGCGTATTTCTTTCTGACTTGCTATCTAAATGTGAATTCATGATGTGTTTTATATATACCACATGTCAAAGTACAATTTTATGATGCTCATTTTTATATACAAATTAGCCAGTAGCAGTAGATACTCTCTTAAACTCCATTGATATGATTTATTTGATGATGAGAAATCAGAATTATGTAAGCATTTACATTAAATGGGAATGAATAAAGTAGCCAATCTTGTTGATTGATTTTCTTTGTCTATCAAAAGACATTTGAAAAAGTCAGAATTGATGGGAATAGAAAATCTACTTGGGGGCTCTTGGTCCAGTCATTCATTTTTTTCTCTAGTCAAATGTCTATGTTTTTCTCAAGCAATAAATTTAGCTTCTGAGATGGTTTACAAAGCTTAATTTTAGTTTTTATTTATCTTTGTTTAGTTTTCAGCTCACCACCAAAATATTTTCTTAGTTCTGTCTTCCTATTCTTTCTCTATGGTCATATGTATCCCAGCTCCAGGTGATAGTCCAAGAGAGTCCAGTGCTGAAGTACATACCAGGTAGAGCCATAAACTTGGGAATATCAGTAGCTACCTATGCCCAAAGCTAATCAACTGGATAGAGAAGGCTTTAACAAATGTTCTAATGCTGCTTTATCGGAAATAAAGGCAACATCTTTTAGGATACAGCTGTTTTTTGAGGATCTATCAGGAGTTCTTTCAGCACTGATTTTTTCAAAAGATCTACTAAAATTGAGATCAATGATTCCCTCATATGCAATAATTTTGTGATTGACAACCAAAGGTCTCCAAACAATCATGTTGAAAATTCTGGAAGTAATTAGTTTATGATATAGGTTTTAATATTCAAAACAATATCATAGGTAAAAGTTCTCCAGGTCAACTTACTCATGTTGTTGAACTATTTTATAACAACAGTGTATACTTATTGTTTTTGATAACATACCTCTGATTCAGAGGTAATAAAGTTCATAGATGGCCCTAGAGACATAAGTCTGAATTAAGATCACACCTGGGAAGTATCATTTATAGAAGTCTTACAAGGACTGGCTTCAACTGGCCATTATATATGAGATAGTTTCCAGGAAGACAGAGTCTCAGACCTTCAGAGAGTAGGCTTGGGGATCCTGCTTGACTTCAAACAGTTTCAAACCTGCTTCGGAGCAAATTGAATTCCTTAGATATCCTTGTAAACCCATTTAATCTTTCTTGGGGGATATACTTGACCTATTTCAAACTCGTGTTCTTTGCTGTAGTCATTACTGAGGCTGACCCTGAATGAAGCTGTCTCCAAGGGTAAGATTCAGGCTCCAGCACTGGGCCCTAAGGCAGTTGGCCAAACTGTGTCTGGCTCAACATTGAACTCTCTTACCTGATAAAGATTGGCAAGGTGGTGGTTAGTTTTGATCAAAAATGGCTGGTTCACCCCTGGGTGGTCAACATCGTGTGCTGCTGCAGCCAGCAGTCCAAGCATGATGTCCAGAGGTGTGAGGAAGCTGGCGAGCTGTTAAAAAAAAGCATATTGGGAAATCAATGGGTATATTTTCATAAATAGGTTAGCATTTGTTTTGGCTAAATCAAATCAAATGAATCATCACTGTATTGTTCAGGCTTTTCATCCAGACCTCTACCCTCTGAAGTAGTCAATGAGGTGACAGTCAGAGGAATTGCAAGGAAAAGAAAGGACTGTGCGGAAAGCAATTAAGTGAGTAAAACTGTGTGAATCATTCAGGAACCCTCTCCTTCCTACTGCCACTCTGTTGCCTTTTGCTCTGTTTTCCCTGCTATGGTAGACAGGGAGAAGGCAGAGGAATATGGTAGACAGGGAGAAGGCAGAGCCTGAAGTCAGCCTGGTTCCTAGAGAAAGCAGTAAATGAAGGAAAGAGTTAAAACCAAAATGAGGCACACGTTAAAAAAAATCATTTGTGTATTTCAACCATTTGCTATATTGTTGCCACTTCTTTGAAATATAAAATCAAGAATGGGCTGAATCACAAAATTTGCATATTTCTTCAATTGTAGTAAATAGTGGGGAAATGTGTAAGCATCTGTCCTTTTTTTAAAATTTTTTTTTGTTAGGGAAAATAAGCAGGGAAATGGGAATCTAGTACTAACTTTAAATATACAACTGTGTGATATAGTACAATTTTCAGACTATTTAGAGGTTAAAAAAACCTTTCATGTCTTTAGGCTATTTCATATGGATGAGGCATCTACCCAGTTTTGTCTTGGGAATGCCTGTCTGGCATCTGTATAGTCAGTGGTTGATGTTAAAACTGATTGAACTAAACAGAGTCTGGGACTGGGATATTATTTTCCAAAAACCTTAAGAAAATTCATCTTGTATATGATACCCACTAAGTTATACATGGCCAAGAAATGCCTCGATTTCAAGTAACAAGAATTATTATTATGTTTTTAATTTTGGATTGGTTTACCACATCAAGACATGTTTGCTAAGAGGGCTTTGACAGTCACAAGTGTTTTTGGGCCCGAATCAGGATGTCCAGTTGCTGTAATAGGAAATGGAGCATGAGCTGTGAGGAGTTTTGATTTTATTTGTCCATCAAAAACTATGAGGTGGGAGACTTTTCTCAGAAAAGTTCAGTGCTGGCACTATTTATGACAAAGATCCAAGGCAAAACAGCTAGATCCTGGGACTGTGGAAGATATCTAAGATGTAAATTGTCACAGAAAGCATTGTTTTTGTCTTATGGAACCTTGAAAAATATACAAATTATGAAAAGAAACCTCAGAAAGTTTACATCCTCTTTCATGAGTACTGTACGATGTTCAGAACTGATACTGGAACTTTAATATAAACAATTTGTATTCATATTGTGAATGACCCATAACACAGTTATTCTGGTATGCTGGGACCCAGCAGGTCGCTTATTTGGCATTTCCAGGTGGTTGAGGAGGCAGAGGATCTTGCCTTACCTTTGGCTCCTTCAGGTAGCAATGCATGGCCTGGGTGACATCAGCCGCGTGAACAGCATTGTGATATGGGTTTTGGCTGTGGTAATCTTCTTGAACCATGACTAGGAGGTAAAAAGATAACCCAGTCAGCTAAAACCAAAACAAGAAGGTCATTAGCTCAGACTTATTGAGGATCCCTTTTGCTTGAAAATATCAGTGTCTCCAAAGTGTGCTGCCTGGGGATTCTTTAAAAATGAACGTGGTTTACAAGCTTGGCAGTTCTCCTGGGCTGTTTTTAGTGGAGTGGAGCGGGGAGGGCAGATGGGAGAAAGGCTAAAAGGATTCGTGAGGCCCTTGGGAACCCTCACCACCTTCATAAATCACCCCTGTCTGGCATTCATGAAAGCTTTCATTCATAGGAAAAATAAATATGTAGGAAAAGAACAACTTCATTTCACACTATAGTTTAATTATTTAAGTTCACTGCCGTTTATGAATAATATGCCTTAAAAGAGGTTTCCTTTTAAAGAGTCTTCTAGCATTGGACTCCTGATATCCAAAGATGGCTTTATCACGTGACTAACAAATACTGACCAAAGTGAATCTGGGACTTCTTCAGGTCTATATTCAGGCAGGACTTCTTCAGATAAGGTACTGAGTTAATTCAACTAAGGACTTCTTGGTTTTATTTCTACCTTATTCAGATTAGATGATCATCTTTCATGCCCTTCCAATCTTAAGGCCCAGGGTGCTCTTGGAACCACATAGAGACATAAGCAAGGCAATTTTGGTTTGCTATTTACAGAAGCCATAGCCTGTGCCAGCTAATAACCAAGGCAATGTTTAGGATGCAACATAAGCGGTGTGTATAGAATGTCCAGATTTGCAAGTGTGGCCATATTTTCTCAGCCCATGCTATGAGTTTGGATCTGGATTCTGGTGTTATTTCTGTCAGCAAATTTTTGCATTCTTTACATGTACTCTGGGTGCATACGCATGTCCAAAGTATCTGTATTCTCCTTCTTTAGACAAATCAAAATTGTTTAGCCTTATTTATGACCAATATTTTGCTTGAGCAATCTAAATTCAATTAGAATGAGGTTTATCTGTGTGTTTCTGAAACTGAGCCACGTTGCGGCTGGTTTAAAAAATTTCTGTTATGCCATGTATACCTTTTATTCAGCAGGTATACATAGTTTTACAACTATATTTTAATATATTTTAATATAGTCTTACAACTATACTAAAACTCTGGCACTTATTTGTATTGGGCAAGTTACTTAACCACAAATTCCTTCAGTTTCCTTCTCTATAAAATGGAGATAATAAATATGTAGGAAAAGAACTTTATTTCACGATATAGTTTAATTATTTAAATTCCTTCTCTATAAAATGGGGATAATAGCCCCGATCTCAAAGGACTACTGTAAGGATTAAATGTGTTAATATATGCAAGTCCTTAAAAAGAGTTCCCAGCATGTTTAAGCACCGCATAAGCTTGGTTGTTGCTATCACTGTCACTGTTACTGCCACTGTTTTTTACTCTTGATGACATCAAGTCAGCTTTCAAACTCAAAGCACAGCCATGGGTTAAGTCAAAGAAATCGGAACCATGCTAAATGGAAGCAAGAATTTATTTGGTGATTGAAAGTGTGCCCTGAATCATTTACTGGCAGATAAGTAAGAATGCACATAAATTCAAATAAGAACCAGGGCTGCTTTTTGATAGATGGTGATGGTGGGGTTGAAGAAAGACGGTGGCCTTTTAAGTTAGAGAAAGGGCTTGGATTGAAGCTATACCAATTATAAGTTGTTGACCTTGAGCAAGTTATGAAACCTCTTTGTATCTCTCCTTAACTGTGGGCCAATAGTGGTGGTAATGTCCAACTTGCAGGGTTGTTGAAATGGTTAGAAATAACACTCCAATAGCATTCTGCAGGTAGTGGGTGCTACATAAATGGTAGTTCGTATTATTAAAAAAAAAAAACCCAAAACCTATTGAAGATTTTCAATAACTCATGTCCAGATTGAAATTGTTTGAGGCATATCTTACTGCGGTTTTGTTGATATGTGAACAGATTAGTAACTTCTTTGCCAGTTACATGTTCTTGATGGTTTTCTTTATATAGCCTTTACCTGTTGTAAATATAACTAATCAAGTAAATATTTTTCAGTGATTTAAATGGGTAAAATTTTAAAATTAAGATGAGATAATTTAAGATTAATTTGAGGTCTTTGTTTACCATGCTATGGTTTTTCCCACTTTATATTAAATAATATTATGGACAGCCATTATTCATGAGAAAGGAGGTAGAAATATGGAAAAAAAGGCTTACCTAAAAACCTGTGTAAGGTCACCATATCTAACTTGAAATGGTGAATGAGTCCATGGGTGTTGAAGAGGTGGCACAGCAGTGTTACCAGGCTATTTCCTATAGAAAAAAACAGTCTTCTGTTTTAACTCATTTTCTTCACCATTAAAATATCAAGATTGACAATAGGATCCAAAGTTTCTGTAATGAAAATTTTCTGATAAGATCATTCCCTTTGGTTATTATTACTAGGTTTTCTCTTACTGTACAAGTGAAATTAGCTCAGATCTTCTCCCTACACCAAAGGCAATGAAAACACTAAGAGTTAGAAGGAGTCTGCCTATTGTGGTATCAGTAGCACACACACGCACACTTGAGTGTGTTTGTATGGTTATTTTATAAAGACAGTTTAACGGTCACTTGAAATGTGTCTTAAGTTGCTTCCAACTGGCTCTTACATTTATAGGGGTATCTAAGCCACCATATTGCTTAACAGTCATAGTCTATTCTTCCTATGGAAAATCACCCAAGATGAGATTTGACCATGACATATTTCTCAAGCCAACAGAGGTGCAAAATTAAAGCTACAATAACTTGTAAGCATTCAAGAAAAATTGCTTATTAAAGAATAATGATTTTGAATTTTAAAAGCTTTATAGAGTTTCTGAAAGACTTTGAAATGGGCCAAGAAGATGACTGAATATCTTAAATGGAAAACTAGGTATTGCCTAAGCACACTTTTCAGGGTACCTGATTCTATGTGTTTTTTCAACTATCACTGTCTTTGAGCTATTTTATAACAAAGTTGTAGACACCTGATAGTATTGCAGGTGATTCTTGTCCATATACATGCAAAAGAAATAAGGTGGAAATACAATTGATTTCCCAGTTTTGCAGCTTTTATAAATTTATTTTAGCATTTCTCACTCTCTCTACATATTTGTGGCTCTTTGAATTCTTCTTTGAACTAGTTGTAGCATCTTACTGGATCTCTGATTGAGTTACATAAAATCTTTGATGTGCTCATTTTGTAATTTTATGAGAGTCATGATTATATTGTCTTTTAAACAAATACCATTTAACAAATTCTTTTGTTCATGGTTAATTTCATTTACTGGTACCCATTTCTCAGTTGATTTGAACAAAAGAAACACATGATTATGGGACCCACCCCATATGGTCTAGTTAGCTTTCCGTAGTGTAAACTTCAGTTTCATGGTCTTAGGCTGTATCTCTTTTCACTGCATGTTTTTTCAACTAATAGAATGGTGAGAAAATCAACTATAAGGACTTAAAGCACAAGCTTAGTAGATGGTAGGACATATGAAGGTTAGCATTAAAGGTGATGCCTTGCATTGGCTCCCTAAGCTTATCAACATTTGTTTAATGGGCAGATGAAAATATAATAGTCTTTTGTGTTATTCTCTTAAAGGAAGCCTTTATAGGCACAAACATTTTAAAGGTGAAACCAATGAGAATATCTGCTTTCCCCTTGAGCTGCAGCCTGAGATTTTATACTCTATCCTCAGCAATTGTTTTCTTATGATGTTAAACATATCTGAACAATACCTGTGCGAGGGCACTTTTGACTCATTTAATCAAAGTACAAAAACACCTGCCCTGTAAGAGTCAGGACTGATCAGATGAGCTTTTGTTTCTAATTTTTATCAACTAACTAACGATGAACTTCCTCCTTTTGGATGTGGACAATGTATTCTGCAAAGACAGAACCTAACCTGTGGTTTTCAAATTCCTTAAGATTCTAAGGCCAAATTCAGTCCTTATTTTTCATCTGAACTAATTTTCCCTGGTCATTCTTGAGTAGCTATAGACTTAAGAAAGTGGAGAAAGGAGGAAAAATGAATAACAGTGTTTAAAAATAAACTTCATTTTCATGAAATTAATCACATTTTATGGTGTATATTTTAGTGAGAATTCTTTTGAGTGACTTACCATTTGTCAAGCGATCAAACAAGAAAATGTCAAAATCCCACATTCCCACTTTGGAGAGCATATGCTGAAAAGGCAAACAAAAAAAATAGTTCTTAAATGAATCATATCAGAGACTCAAACATTTTCTTCAAGACAGAGTAAATTAAACAATTAAAAAATTGAAAATAGTAGCATACCACTATTTGTGTGCAACTGGTTTATAGAAAAGCAAATCTTACTCTACTTGGTAATAATAACAAGTGGTAAAGGATACGCTCAGGAATCGGACCGCCTGGTCCGATGTCAGCCTCATCTCTCACTGGCTTTGATACCCTGGGCAAATTCCTTAACCCCTCTGTACCTTTGAAAAATGTGGCTGATATTATTCCCTCAGAGCATTATTGTGAGAATTAAATAAGGTAATATATGTAAACATAAATATATGTAATATAAGTGCATAGAACAGTGCTTGTTCATAGTAAGCACACACACATTAGGTATCTGTTAAAATGGTAGTTCAGTAAACTCTCTAATCACAAACTACTATTCACTTAAGGAAGAAGGTTTACAACAATCTTTTAAAAAATGAATTCAAAATGATTGCTGAGCATATTACTCTGCTTAATGTGGACTAAATATGAAATTACTCACTGTAATAGGAGACTGAAGAGTGAGTAATTGAAAATATTGGGTAATTGAAAGACCTAATGTCTAATGTAGGCTTATTATCCTATTTCTCTTTTTAAAAATATCCCACACCTAGAACTAGATGGTGTTAACCTTGAGTTAGAAACAAAGGTCCAGCTGCTGACTCTGTCCTCACTGTCCCACCGCTGGGCCTTCCCCTGCTCTCACAGCCACTGCTTCAGGTCAGAACTAGCTCGCTCTCCTCTACCGCCTCTGAAGGGCTTCTCTGTGTCTTATGATAAAAACTAAAGCCTTCAACACAAAGACTTTCACAACGGCATCAGAAACACGAAGGGTTAAGAGGTTGTTTGTGAGATCTAGACTGAGCAAGCATTTTACTCAAGTCCTGTAAATCTGAAGGCAGAGCCAGGACTCAATCTCTGATGTCCTGAGTTCCAGCCTGCCGTGGTTTCTACATCTCAGTGTTTCCTTTCGAGAGAGGCGGCTGCCTGGAGGGGAGGCACTGCGGAGAGGGCTTTGTCACTGATGCTCTAGTGTTGGGATCTTAGTCTTGTTCTCCTCTAACCAAATGAATGAACAAGCATTCACTCAATTTCAGGCCTTGGGTTGTTAGGAGGAATGATTGTTTTCTTCTTTTGTAGACTAATGTTGGGAATTCGTGCTTCTGACATTACTTGCTGCTTATTTCTTAATAGCATATATTAATCATATATATTTCTTAATAGTATATAGACAACATAATGCTATTTGGTGTGTAAACTACTACCTTTGACTTCTGTTTAAAACAAAGCAGTTTATTCCTGAAATTTAAATTCCCTTGGTAGTTTGGGCTACAGATAGCCTGTGAACTTTTTTAGATTGTCATCCATTAATTTCTATCTTTAGTGGGACCGGTGAATCACAAAAATAATTGTAAAATTAGTAAAAATTATTTGAATAAATTAAAAGTTATAAAAAGGATAAAACACCATACTGATAGCCTAAAGCAGAATTAAGAGTTGGTGGTTATTGGGTTAATTTCAATATAGGTATTATAATGAGATAATTCAATGGGCTACAAATTTAGTTACTCTCTTATTAGCAATAGATCAGTCCAAAATTTTACTTTACTTAGCGTTCTGGAAATTGCACATTTATAAAAGTGAAAATAGGTATAAATGTATTGTACATGTAAACATGCTTTACCTCATTTAACCGCTGCATCAACTCTATGAGGTGTGTGTTTCTATTAACTTCATTTTGTATTTGCAGAAAAGTCCAGACATATTGAGTCACTAGCCAGAGTCACAGAGCATCTCAGTGGCAAAGAAGTAGGACTCAACCCTGGGTGCTATCAGTGGAGACACAGGCTCTCGGCCACTGGCTTGCTGTGAGTTAACAGAGGGATAGCTAGCTCACCCTTGCTTGTCCAAGGTAGTCTTCATCCAGCAGGTGGAGAGAGGCTTGTGGTATAATTCCACGAAGCAACCTTGATGCATGGAAGTATCTTTGAAAGCTTAATAGTCTTTTCACCTTTTTCTTGGTACCAATTTCCCCTGAGTATGTTGTATCTGTGGAAAGTAATCAAATTCCAGGTTATATTTTTAAAAAGCCCTATTCCCTCCACCATGTAAAACTACGATGTATTATAAAGGAGAGAAATTTTAAAGATACTCTCAATGCTTCCTTAAGTATAGCTTATTTAACTCTATGCTTGAAATTCTTCTAGGACAAAAAATGATATTTCTAATATGTTACATTTATGAAAATGTAGAGCTATTTCTGAATGTAATTTTGAAAGACAAGGTATATGAATTAAAAACTTCATTTTCTAATTAATGATGCTGATATGCTCAGTGAGCAAAATCCACATACTTCTGCATGCATTTAAAGGAATAGTTAAGCTTTTTTCTGCTATATGGGAACTGAGATTCCAAAATTTAGATCAGTTTCTTATCCTACACTCACCCTAGTTTGATCAAATCTCTCATCTGAATGAGAGGAGTTGAGAGTACACTAGCTAGCATATGAGGAAGTGTATCCTAATGTCCCTGGATCATCAGTGGCAAAAGAATCAATAATCTCAGCATTAAAGTGACCTGCATTCTCCTGACATGAAGCAGAGTGTTTATTTACTTTCAAATGGGTATATTTTCTTTTGCTGATGGCCGTAAAAGTCTGATCCTGTGAGTAGAGATACTTTAATACTCATGTCACATGTACCCTTCAAAACTTGACTGCTGACATCGTGGTGATTGTTCAGAAATACCCCAAGCACATTATTTGAATATCTGTCATGGTATGTCCTGCCTCTGCTGCCAATTTTGGATCCGTAGTCAACTGAGCAGTCTAGTAAGAAGACATACTGTTCATATATACAAAATTTTGGTTCTCTCATGCTTCCTCCCATCTTCCTTTTTCTTCTATGGAACTCAAAATCACAATGGATGCCAGAAGCAGAGGAAAACTGGGCAAGGGCCTCCTGAGCAATGTCGCACATCCCAATGACAGTGAATGACCAACACCAGTTCATGACTTATGTTGTATTATGCATGCAAGACTTAATTCATGGCAGACAAAACCTACCGTTCTCTGGAAATGCTGCCTGATTAAAATTCTTTTTTATTTTAAAGTGGATCTAGATTTCATGTGTGGGAAGAGGCAGACATATGGAGATAAGAGGCATACAACTGAAGCTGGGTGTTTAGGCACACATTACTATTAAAAATGGTGCAGTAGTACCCCCATTAGCTGCAGTTTTGCTTTCCATGGTTTTCATTACCCACAGCTAACCAGAGTCCAAAAATATTAAGTGGAAAATTCTAGAAATAAACAATTCATAAGTTTTAAATTGTACGCCATTCTGCATAGTGCAATGAAATTTCTTGCTGTCCTGCTCCATCCCACCCAGGACATAAATCATCCTTTTGTCCAGAGTACCCATTGCTGTATATACAACCTCCCTGCTAGTCACTTAGTAACTCTCTCAGTTACAAGACCGAGGTATCACAGTGCTTGTGTTCAGGTAACCTTATTTTACGTAATAGTGGTCCCAAAGAACAAGAACGAAGCTGACAATTTGGGTATGCAAAAAGAAGCAGTGAAGTGCTTTTTTTTTAGATGAACAAGTGAAAGTGAAAGTACTTGACTTAATAAGACATTTTATCATCTTACATCATCACAAGAAGGAGGAGAAGTACAGTACAATAAGATATTTTGAGATAGAGACCATATTCACACATGTACTTTTATTATATTATTATAATTATTCTATTTTATTATTAGTTATTGCTAATCTCTTACTGTGCCTAATTTATAAATTAAACCTTATTGTAGGTATGTATATACAGGAAAAAACATAGTACATATAGAGTTTAATTCTATCCGCAGTTTCAGGTATCCACCGGGGGTCTTAGGATGTGTCCTCCATGGATGAAGGGGTGTACTGTATATGTAGACTCAATTCTACTGGTGAGTTCTCACTCATTTCTATCAGTTTATCAAGTCAAAGTACAGGATATGTGGTTCTTTCATTTTTTTAAAAAATATTTTGATTGTTACTAAGGGACAAGCACTGTTCTAGAATACTTGATGAGATCCCTCAGTTCTAGATCCCACAGTGAGTAAAACAAATATCCTTGTCCTCATGAAGCTTACATTCTAGCAAAGAGACAGACAATAAGCAATAAACATAAACAAGAAGTAATTTGTAAAAATGTATTATAAGGTGGTGAGTGCGATGAGTTAAAAAAAAGGAAAGCGGGGAATGAGGGATCAGGAGTTCTGTGTTGGAGTAGTCAGGGTTAGCCTCATCAGAGGGTACAACTTGATCAAAACTTGAAGTAGATGAGGGAGCTTGCCAAGCAGATATCTGGGGAAGTGTCTTCCATACAGAGGGACCAGCACCAATAACCCCAGGTCAGAAGCACCCCTGGCATGCTGGCCTGTGGGAGGGAAGAGCAGCAGGAGTTCCAGGTGGATGGGAACAAAAGAAAACAAGAGGAGTAAGAGATGAGGCCTTAGAGCAAAGGGAGGCATGAGAATTACACAGGGCCCTGTGGGCCACTGCAGCAGCTTGCGCTCTACTCTGAGTGAAATATGGAACCACTGCAAAGTTTTGAGCTGAAGGGTGATATGATCACGCTCATATTTAAAAAGGGTCATCCTGGCTTCTGTGTTGAGAACAAATTATAGGAGCAAGTGTTGATGCAGTGAGACCTGTTATAAGGTAATCGAAAAATAAGCGAAGCAAGAGAGATGATGGCTGCTTACCATGGGGGAACAGTGGAGGGGGTAGTGAAAGGATCCTGAATATATTTTGGGTACCTCCAAGTTTTTGGCCTGAATAGGCAGGATAATGGACCTGAAATGGGAAAGGCTCCAGGTGAAGCAAGTGTGGGTGGATTTCAGTTTTGCACATGTTGAATATGAAAGTCTATTGGAAATTCAATTGAAAATGTCAAATAGAAATAAGTGGATATAAAATCCAGAGCTTGAGGGAGAAGACTGAGTTAGAAATGTAAATTTAGAAGTGTCAGATGACATTACCTAGGGAGTGAGTGTAATGTAAATACAGATAAGAAAAACACCCAAGTTTGAGTTCTGCAGTACTTCAACTTTAAAGGGTGTGGAGAAGAGTAGAAAAGATCAAAAAAGAAAGCGTGCCCAGGGGGATGGAGGGAAAAATAAGACAGTAACATTGCCTGCCTAGGAGCCTAGTGAAGACAATATTGCAAGGTGGAAGGTGTGATACTCTAGTTTCAAATGCTAATAGATCAAGTAAAATGAAGACAGAGTATTGACCATAGGCATATAAATCTGTCAAAATTTATTAACTATGCACTTAAAAGAGCCATTTTATTGTATACCTAGAAGTAATGACACCCTAGTAGACAAGCATATCTAGCACTCAGATTTTGTTTTTTAAATGCAATTTCTCACTAAATGGAACCAGACCACTTTAGTGAAATGGCTGAGTCTAGGACTGGGTCAGGCAAAGTACAAAATGAACTATAACTTCTTGTTATGCCAGAAAATAAGGGAGAGCTAAAAATTGATGGGATCACTTAATAACGACAGAGCACACAACTTGAAGGGCAAATATGAGAAAATTTGAGCATCAAAGTGGCTAATAGAAGAATGGATCGTAAATCATTGACTGAAAGAAGAATCCATAAGTCCTCACTGGTAGTAAGCAAGTAAGTAAGTAAATAAATGAGGAGAAGGAAAAGCTCTTCCTTGCAGAGAGTACCAACCAATAATGTAAATGAAATAACTGAGTTAGAAAGTTAACCATTTTGCAGCCTTCATAGCAATAACTGATTAAGGCCAGAATCGTTAATGGATACTACAATTATTAAAGTGAAAGTTTAAAAAGCAACAGGATAATCACATTGTATCAAAGTATCTCCCCATTGACTTATTAATTAGAAAGAAAAAACAGGTAGTATTTTAGTGGACAAATGTAGAGGGGGCACCATCTTCACTAAACATCAAAGTTTGCATCACCAGTGATGAGAGAAAAAGACTTCATATGTTTCCTGTGTATGAATATTGTACAGAGGTTACAACATTGACTACATAGTGTTCCTGCCCCAAATGCACATCTGACTCCAGTAAAAAGGAAACATCAGTTGAAGGACGCTACAAAAAAGTCAGCCCATAGTTCTTAAAAAAAAAAAAGTCAACGTCATGAAAGACAAAGCCTCTGGTGTTGTTTCATAATCATGGATGCCAGAAACAGTGCACTAAATGCAATGCATGACCCTGAATTGGATTGTGGATCAGAAAAAATTTCCATAAATGACATTATTAAGACAATTTATGAAATGTGGATATGGACTTAAATATGAGTTACATATTATATACTCATACATAAGTTATTTACAGTAAAAGCAGATGATAAGAACAGTTTCTATTCACTAAGATGATCATTTTGACTGAAATATTACTAATCTAATGGTGCTATGAGTGAGAGGTATTAAGTTAAGATTCACTTTGTTCTAAAATTAAAGAAGAAAAGAGCAAAGTTCTCTCCTTCCCTATTTATTTTTTTCACCCTGTGGTCAAACAGATAATAGTCCACCAACATGACAACATAGATATCTTTTGATCTTTATTTAAATTTTTGATATTTCTTGGCCTTAATTCTTGTTTTAAAAATGTCGTGTTAAAATATGATATATCTCGATAACTGAGTTATTTGGCACCCTCTTAGATTTTGAGCCTGAGGTAAGTGCCTCACCCCCTCACCCTAGTTCCAGCCCTGTCACACCTTTGGAGCATAAATTCAGATAATGTAAAGAATATTCAATAATAAAATAATCTAGAGAATAAAACTGTCTCATAGTTAATTTGTTACAGTAGCTATAGGTTAAAAAAATGTATCATATACTATCATTCACCATGAGGTTCAAAGTTTTGGAACAGTTGGTTTATAATGACTTCTATTTTTTATTTGTGCAATTTCAAACTTAGTGTGTGAGATGGACAGCTAGATATCAGCTTAGTTTTAGTATTAATCTGTGGCCAATATTTTCTAAAACACCAAGGCAAGCCATGACAATGCCATTGAGCA